GTCAGTTCTGTTATCTTTATATTGAGTCCTCAAAGTTTCACAAATGCCAGGCTTGAACTGCAGAGGTATTTCTCCTTTAACTCTGTGCAAATCAAAATCATTAGCGCTTCTTACATTTTACTTATTCTTAGGATTTCTTAACAAACATTGTTAGTTTTTGAAATAAATCCGTATTAGGTGCTCATGAAACAAACAACCACAGAATCATTTCTTGGCTGTATGAGAAGTGAATTATGATAGTTTATCACAGCCGATAGCAGAACGCTGATAAATGACGCTGTTTTTTCCTGTGTTTGTCTCTGGGTTTGGGTTTCCATCCCGTCTCCCACCCTCTCCAAAGAGAGTGTAGACAAGAAACTGTCGTCATTGTAAACAAAACTAGATCTCATGTGTGACACAGCATTTCCCCAACCTGTCTCCTGCTTGTTTATACAGGTGCCTATAGAGGAATGCAGGTATTTGAAGTAAAGTGTCGGACCTGATAAACACAGAAGTGAAGGGGTCACATTCTAGAAGTGGTGCTCCACTTCAATACTGCAGCATTTTAAAGCTGAAAATACAGGCCATTATTTTCCCTTTCATTTGTACTACCAACAGTGGAAATACAGACTTGTGTCTTTTGAATGCGTTTCTGTATCTAGCTGTTAGACTTTTCTCCACGGCTCAGCTCTTCTCCCATTTCAAGGCTCTCTCGCCCTTTCATGGGAAGAATTTCACATACCAGAGTTACATCTGTTCTTTTTTCAATCACATTTTTTTAAATCCTGTTATCTATGTCTGCATCTTGCATCAGTGTCTCTTCCTGTTTTGTGGATGTATTTTATAAGCAAAAATAAATTTCTGAAGATACAGCAATTGAACTAGATACTGGTATGACAACAGAAGTCTGTGGTTCCAGTCCTGCCTGATGCACAGATCCCAGAGTTTGCCTTTGCTCTTGGCCATAAGGAGGTCACCAGGGACAGCAGGGTGAGAGCTGGAGACTGGCTCAACAGATGCTTTTTGTCAACAAACATCCTTTTCATCTCCTTTTGAAAACACTTTTTGGTAGCAGTATCAACATCCCTGCTTAGAAGAGGAAGTCCTGGTGTTTACTCTTGTTAATTTAGCATAGTAAGCGGGATATGCTTTTTTTTCATACATATTGAAAGCATGATTTGAGGACTTTCTAGAACTCTTTACTCCTCCAAGATAGGCAGTGTGACTGTACCTTTTTTTTGGAGGCTTCTGTCCGTTATTCGTAGTAAATAAGGTGTTGATTGTTCTTCCTGTATGTGTCTTTTGTTCCCTACTATTGTTATAGAAACGTGAGGATGTATATTGTATGGGCATTCAGTTCCTGCAAGTATTACAGACTGAGCAGAGGGGTTGTTTAGGGTTACAACCAGTCACATCTGCCTGTTAACAGTGACAAAGACAGATCTCTTCTTGTTCACTGTTCTTCAAAGACCTCATCCTAAACCTCCCTCAATTTTCAAGGCTTTATTTTCAGCTGTTGACCTAGTTTTTCTAGGCATCTGAAATTCAGAAAGAAAAGGGCGATAATTAGATACATAATAAGAGTTTAAATCTTAAAACTTGGGTTTAAGGCCTGGACAGAGCATAGAATAGCTGACTGTAGATGGACAAGTGATATACATTCCTGTTTGAGGTGTAAGAAATAGTTGTCAAATTTTTCAAGTGTATTTGCCAGTTCTGAAACGTTTATATATTTTGGTTAGGATTAACGCTTCCAGTGAAGGTCTGTTGAGATGGAAAGTTTCTCCAGGTGGGAATGAATAAAAACAACAAATGGTAAGGCTAGTAAGCAGAAAAAGAGACAACATGAATAGATGCTGGAATGGTACTGTTGAAGTTTGAGCAGAGGAGGCAGGTTAGTAGGGCAATATTTTTAAAGAGGTCTTTGCCTCATGGATTTATTTTTTTTTTGGCTGTGTTTCTTTAGATGTGTGCAAAGCTTTTTTTTGAGTCATTATGACTTAAGGACTTCTAGTGTATTTGAAGAAATTTTATTTTTCTGTCTAGGTAACTTTCCCATTTCCACTTGAAAATGCATTGTCAAGTAGAATCACATACATGCAGCTATCTGGGGATCTGAGTACAAAAGGTTTGTGTTTAAATTTGTTTAGCTCAGGGAGACTTTTACTGTGAACTGATATATAGTTTTTATTCTCCCTAGCTGCAGCTGATCTGAAGGCAAGCTATTAAAGAAAGTCACATCTAGTTTTTATGAGGACAGCTTCAGCTTTGCGCTTAGGTTTATATTTTTAATTTTTTTTTTTAAGATTTTTGATTAATGTTGTTTTGAACAGCCAGAGTCTCTTAGGAAAGCTTGCATTGTGTGGAATGTGTAGTCTCCCTGCAGAAATGAAAACTCAGAGGGGGTAACTGAATACTCCTTGCCCTCAGTGCATTGCCAGCCTGAAGAAAAAACAAACATGCTTACTGAGAACAATGAACATTCCTTGAAACCCTAGGAGACAGGTTTTTTGCCTTTTTTTTTTCTTTTCTTTTAGAAAGACCCTGTTGAGGTCTTCAGGCCCAGGTGGCAGGCTCCAGAGGCTTCTCACTCTTTGTCATTAGGCTGTTGCCTTGCTCAGGACACAAGGGCTGCAACTAGTTGGCACCTACATTCTGGAGGTTAAAAAAAATGAATCCTCCATCAAGATGTCTTTGGTTTTTTTTTTCCTATGTTCCCCCCCCCTCTGTTTGAGCTCTTTCCAGTGCTAGTGATGCAACTCTGACTTTCATTAATGTTTTCATGCTTCTTTTCTAACCTACTGGGCTTCAGACCTCCAAATGCAGTTTGTCTACTAGTAACCCAGAAATACATCTTGAACACTTGAAAGACTTGCATTTGCCTGTTAGGAGCCTTGAGATACCTGAGTCCCAAGCTACCTGTTCTCTTGTTCAGCTCTGCCTAACTTTACTGTCCTTTGTATGGCAGCCACTCTGTACTTGACTCTGGAATCTTTCTTTGCAAATAAGTAATTTCTACTTCTGCTCCCTTGTTTTCAATTTTACCAAAGTTTTGCAGTGGTAATTCTGTGTTCTGGTAAATGCTTGATGTTCAAAGTATATGCAAGCGGGTTGCAGGGTAGGTCATAGCTTGAGAACTAGATGTATTGGGATGTAGAATCTTGCTCTGTCTTTAATTATCTGTGTTTTTATTAAGATAAGTCCTGGAAATAAAGTTGCTTGATTAGTATTAATAATGAGATTTTTAAAATGGGATAAAGCACTAAGAATTTTTAATGGCATTCTTTTTGACTTAGATTTACAGGTCTGAAGATTTTTAAGAACATTTATCTGAAGCTTACATAAAGAGAGCTTTTATGTGCCTGCAATGAGATTGCTGTGGTATATGAGATCATTCTAAAGTACTTTCATCAAGCAATATTGCTTTTTTTATTAAGTTATTTAATTTATACTTTTGTTGCTGGAGTGTTCCTAAAACGTGTAGTATGAGCTTCAGAATTCATAACATTAAATTTCTTCTAGATTTATCTCATTGTTGATTGATTTTGGTGCCTCAGAATATGGAAGTTCTTTATTAAGCTTTCTGCAATTGGGGCAATTACAAGAAATTATTCTTTGTAGGTTCACTGGCATTTAATAATATAGGACTCAGAGGTACTGTAGCCAATGCAAAATATAATTAAGACATTAATTAAAGTCTTTGGTTGAAGACAAAAGTGTCAAATCTACAGGAAGAGGTGGTATATGGATTTTGAGCAAGTGAGAGAGGAATTAAATGAAATGCATCAATTATGAGCCCAAGCAACTCAGAATCTGGAGGCTGCATTGATAGCAAATGAGATGAGAAGAAACCGAGAAAGCTGAAGGCCTGAACTGCAAAGTGTTCAACACCTACAGGTCATAGAATCATAGAATTCATTAGGTTGGAAGGAACCTTTAAAAGTCATCTAGTCCACTCCCCCTTCAGTGAGCAGGGACATCTTTATCTAGATCAGGTTGCTCAGAGCCCTGTCAACCTGACCTTGAATGTCTCCAGGGATATATTTAGTATCATAGAATTGAGTTGGAAAAAACCTTTATGACCATTGTTAGCCCAGCGCTGCCAAGTCTACCACTAAACCATGCCCATAAGCACCATATCTACACATATTTTAAATACCTACAGGGATGGTGTCTCAGCCACTTCCCTGGGAAGGCTGTTCCAGTGCGTGACAACCCTTGGAGTGAATACATTTTTCCTAATATCCAATCTCAGCCTCCCCTGGTGCAACTTGAGCCCACTCCTTGTCCTATCACTTGTTACTTGGGAGAAGAGACGGACTGACCCACCCCCACCTTGCTATAACCTCCTTTCATCTACTTGTAGAGAGAGATGTGGTCTCCCCTCAGTCTCCTTTTCTCTAGGCTCCCTCTGTAGACCCATCCTACCTTTGAGCAGATCAACACTTCCACCCCACTTGGTGTCATCAGAAAACTTACTGGGGGTGCACTCAACCCCCTTATCCAGATCATTGATAAGGATATTAAAGAGAACTGTCTCCAACACCGAGCCCTGGGAACATCACTTGTGACTGATGACCAGGTGGATTTAACTCCATTCAGTACAACTCTTTGGGACCTGCCAGACAGTTTTTTACCCAGCAAAGAGCACACTGGTTTAGGCCCTAAGTAGCTGGTTTCTCTAAGAGAGTGCAGTGGGAAATGGTGTCAAAGGCTTTACTAAAGTCTAGATAGACAATATATACAGCCTTATCCACTGAACAGGTCACCTGGTCACAGAAGATCAGGTTAGTCAAGAAGGGCCTGCTTTTCATGAATCCATGCTGACTGGGCCTGATAACCTTATCCTGTACATGCCATGTGGTGGCATTCAAGATCATTTGTTCTGTAACCTTTCCTGGCACTGAGGCCAGGCTAACAGGCCTGTAGTTCCCTAGATCCTCCTTCTGGCCCTTCTTGTAAATGTGCGTCACCTCCAATCAGCTAGAACCTCTGTGGTTAGCCAGAAATGCTGATTGGTGATGGGAAGTGACTTGGTGAGCACTTCTGCCAGCTCCTTCAATACCCCTGGGTGTATCCCACCTGACCCCGTAGACTTCTGTATGTCCAAGTGGTGCAGCAGGCTGCTAATCATCTCCTCTTGGATTATGGGGATTTCAAACTGCTCCCTGTTCTTGTCTTCCAGCTCAGAGGACTAGGTACCCAGCAAACAACTGGTCTTGCTACTAAAGACTGAGGCAAACACGGCATTAAGCAGCTCAGCCTTTTCTTCATCTTTTGTCACTGTGTTTGCCCCTTCATTCAGTAAAGGATGGAGGTTCTCCTTAGCCCTCCTTTTACAGCTAATGTATTTATAGAAACATTTTTTATTTTCTTTTACCTCAGTAGCCAGATAAAAGGGCTTCAGCCCTTCTGATTTTCTCTCTGCATAACCTCACAACATCCTTGTAGTTAGTACTTGTTCGTCTGGCTGATCAAGCTTTTGAAATTTGGTTTGAATTTTGAAAATAGGTAACTTGTAATGTTGGGGTTTTTTCCCTTTTTTGGGGTGAGAAGTGACAAAACCTGACTTATTTGTCGTGTGTTTTGCCACATGTGAGTAGTCATGTAAAAATTCAGTGCTTGAGAGTGATGCCTGTGGGGGCAAAATAGCCTTCCAGTGACTTTTCCTTAGTACTGCTTTATTCTTCAGCAGTGTGGTACGTTGTTCTTCTTCCTTGAATCTCAGACCAGTATCTCTTCTAGTTGGAGCTGTTAGCTGTATAGATTCTGTATTCTCAGATGTTTTCCTAAATGTTACATGCCTGATGCAAACCACTTCATTTTCTAGAGCAGTTTGTTAAGCAATGTTTTGGAGTTTCATTGCATGCCAGATTTGTGCAGTTGACTGGGTGGTTAGTGTTACTGACTGTATGATTCATATTATTGGATACCTTCTTTAGAGAATCAGTTTTAAAGATGCCTGCCCAAAGCTCTATTTGCAAGTATGATTACACTATTGAACAGAGCTCAAAATCACAGATGCTTTTGACTCTCAAAGCTTTCTATTTTTCTGAGGAGGTTTCCCCATTACATTTCTTTCCTGCATCTGTAGCATTAATCTGTATTTATAATGTTGTTGAGTATATCTTTTAAAATTACTATAAGCACTTAAATATTGTATTAATTATTGTATGAAGCCAATATTGAAAGCTCATTAACTTATTTTAAAGGTGGCACTATGCCATTTCAATAATTCTGCCATTTGATACACTTTTTCTTCAGATTGAAGATGGGAGCAAAGCTGCAGCTGTGGACAAGCTATTGGCTGGGGATGAAATTGTTGGCATCAATGATGTGGGCCTCTCCGGCTTCCGACAAGAAGCGATCTGTCTGGTGAAAGGTTCACACAAGACACTGAAGCTTGTGGTGAAAAGGTAAGCTTGTGGCATTCAGCTGGAAAACCAAATGTGTTCCAGGCTCTAAGCTACTGGGCAACTAACTTTGCCAAAACTTGGCAAGACTTCCATTCAGTGTTATTAACGTGCATGTTATGTGGCGTTACCTCCTCCTTGAACACAAACCCTTTATGGGGAGAGGTAGCCTATTGATCAGAGCAAAAAACTGAGGCAACATATTCTGTGAATACTGTGGTGTTGTGATGAGTCAGGACTCTGTTCTGCATTTTCCCACTTTGTGAGAATATTTGAGGTCTCAAGCATTACTTAGGTGGTTTGGCTGAAGGGTACTTTTAGTCAGTTATTAGTGAAGGGGAAAAGCTGTAACAGTTTGTTAAAACAACACATTTTTAATATGGAAACTTTTTGTTTTGTCATTTTGACTTGCAACTTTTAAGTTCACACTTTATTTACTAACTTGAATTAAAAATAAGTTTCATAAAATACTTTTTACAAAAGTGAACAAATGTTGAAGGAGGTGAAAGCTTGTAACTTCTGAAAAAATTTCAAACCAGGAAATTTGGACAACAAAATCTTTCTGATTAATTTCCTACTCTTGTGAATTAGGACTTTCTAATTAATTACTTTTATCAAATTACCAGTCTTTTGTGTGAGAATTTTGGCTGTCTCTGTTAGAATGAAAAAATAATTTTGTTGCAGTACAGAAAATGTTGAGAATTTAACATGTGTGGTGGTTCAGTCTATAAATACAGCCATGGTTTGAGGCTGTCTTAAATGAGGACTATCCATTGTGAAGCAGCACGGATAGGTAAGAGAGGTACAAAAGCATGCTTTTCACCCTTGTTTTAAGAAGCTGTTTTCAACAGAAAGAATTATGGAAACCTGAATCTCTTTCACTGGTGATAGTTTGTATCCTCACCTATCACTACTTCTAAAAGTTCTCCCTAATTGTTGTAGCACTAGAGTTAATAAATGCAAAACAGAATGGATTCACAACTATTATAAATCATGTTGGTGTTCAGCAGTTTCAACTTGCACTGGCTATTCCAGTAAAAACACTTTTGTTAGCAGAGGTTACATGAGCTGTTTCTGTTGCAGAAAGGGAGAACTTCAGGGTTGAGAAATTTTATAGACATTGAAGAATCTGCCAAGACAGCAAGTCTTAATTACTACCAAAAGCTTCAGAGTAAGTGGAAAGATTCCCTCTTTCTTGGGGCTTTCCAGTTTCTGAGCAACTTGCTCAGAATCTATAGATTGAGATTTATCATTGGAAATGGCAGGAAGTTTGATGCTGAAACACCCTCACAAGAGAGAGACAGCTATGCCATTCTTGTCATTGACAAGTGCTTCACTTCATGCATGTGATTTTGGAGAAGTTTCCATATGGCTAATCAAGCACTGATTTGCTGCTGGGAATTTGTGGCCATTCTCTGCAGGCAACAGAGCCCCATTGCTATGCATGCCTGAGTGCAGTTTGGTGCAAAGCTGATGGGTTTTCATCAGTTGTTTATCATTCCTCCGCTTTTTCCTGCCCTAGCACATGTGTAATGGGCAAAAGCAACCTAGTTTTTCTAGCCAAGAGGCTGAAATAGTGGCTGTTGTTAGGGAAAACATTTTTGTCCTAAATTCACAAAGATTTCCATAGCTCCCAAAGGAGGCAAGAGCCTTTTGGGTCATTGAGGAGCCTGCATAATATTAGATAAAATTTCATAAAGCCTACTGAATGAAATTAGCTAGGGGTTTTGTCTGTGTTTTTTGAACTTTGCTCTTTCTCTTGGAAAGTTGCCTTAGGACATCAGTCCTTTGACGGTCAGAAACCTTTTAACACCCAGTCTCATTTTATCCTTGGCCAACTTGTTCTCATGCGCTACTGTCTGTGTGCTAAAATAGCTTTTCTTTTCCTGTTGGAAGTTCAAATGATGCAGGTTTTGTTAAAAGCCTTGTTGCATGCTTTCTCCCAGAAGTTATAGTTTGAACAATAGTATTGTTTTGTTCTGTTTGCCCTAAATCTTAGAATGAATTTTTGTAAGTGCTTTAAACAGCCCTGTATTTAAGCAAACCAGTTGTTTAGTCTTTGTAAGAGCACTCCTGCAGGTCTGGATTGAATTGGATCAGGCAGCTGATCTGACTGCAAAATTACTTGAGGAAGCAGGTTTTCAGCTGGATAGGACCACCACTTTTCATAGACAGTCTGCTCTTTAATTAATTACAGCAATGTCGAAATGGCTGCCTTAACATTTTTAGACTATTTCAGTCTTCTTTAGATCCACCCTTACTGTTCTCTGGCGAGACTGGGAATAGTCCCACATTTCCCTTTCATTGAGTTACATATATAATGAAGTATTGATCTATAAGTCCTCTTAGCATCTTCTTGTCTGCTTGCTCTGTGTTCTTTGTCTAGAGCTCTGATGCCTCTTGATAGCATTGATTTAACTTTTTATTTTCTGTGGGTGTCAGTGTGATAATTTGAAGCACAAAATAGACAAATGGCTTTAAGTTCAGCAACTGCATCCTGAAGGTTAAAAGAATCTTTGTTTTAATCATGTTTGTTCTTGCTATCTGTTAAAGTTAGCTTGGGAAGCCAAGGGCTAGATTTTGTATTGAAATAATTTTTCCCTGGGGTTATTTGTAGTATCTATTTCTGAACTGATCCAGAAGTGGCAAGCAAACATTTTAAAAACTATCATGAAGTGGAAAATTTACTTTTTAATTAAGTTATTCTGGAAAGTACAGAACTATCTTACAGTTAATGTCAGCGTGTCCATATGAAATCCCTCCATATGGGTCACTTCCTCATGTACTAATGCCACATCCTGATCTTGTATCAGTCAAACTATTTCTGTACCCAGGAAGCAGTAGGGTCTGCTGTTTTCAGTTTAGGAGTCTAATGTATCTACAGCCAAGACCAAATGAAAATGTTTTGCCACAGTAACATCACAATAATTAACTTGTGACTGTGTCAGAAGTTTCCCAAAGAGCTGGTGTTGGTAAGCACTGGTAGCTGGCTTCTGCAAAAATATTTTTACCCACTGTTTTCAGAGAATATGATGCTTGACTTGCATAGGGAAAATAACATGGGTCTCTAAATTAAAGTGCCTGCTGTACCAAATACACAGCATAATTGTGCTGGCTATCAGCATGCATGCTTGGCAGTATTTTTTTTAAACATTGCATAGCTGTGGTCTAAACCGAATCAGGACTGTTCAACTGACTTAACAACAAACATAATGTTTAAGTAGCTTACATGCTGATGGTTGAAAAAGCGTGGTGTACTTTTGATCTTGGATTAAAAGAAGACTCAGGAGGCTTCATGTTATTTTCTCAAGTGGATTTGTCAAAACAACACATCTTAATTATGTGCTTCAGTGTAGTACTGAGTTGTTTCTTGGGTAGATTCCTTTCTTTGGAAAATGGAAAGGAAACTGCTTTGGACATTTCTTACAGGAATTGTACATTAATGTTTCTTGTTTTGGAAATGATGTGTGCATGCTTATCTATGCACATGCAAAATTGCTCTGAGTGTTGATACTGAGGTAGTTACCATGTTCTGTGTAATTTAAATCTTCTGCTTACACTTCTAACTTAAATTCCCTTCTGGTTCTTAAATAGAACCTCCATTCCTTTGCATATCCTCAACATAAGCATATACTGCAAATCCATGAAAGTTTGGAATTACTTTTTGCCATGAGACACATGAAACTCTTAAACATTGGCACATAGATGATGCTTCCACTTGTGGTTTATTAATGTTAAAGGGAGGGTGGCCTTTGGGAGCCACCCTAAGAAGTTATGTGGAGTTGTCCTGTTGGTTGCTTTGAATCATCCGTTAGTGACAGTGAGAAGGGGTGGGCAAGGGAAGGGAGTAGCCATGGACTTCTTTTCCTCAGCACTGGCTGGTGACAGAAAACTTTCAGTTTAACTTGACTTCAGGAACTGCCAGGGTCTGTGAACTGGCCTTTAAGTTGCACACATGTGAACGGGTGTGTTTTCCTTTACATAGCATTGCATTTTGGTGCCTTTATGTGGTAGAAGTTTAAGCTGTTTTTGCAATGCTGAGGGATCCCTTGTTACAGAAGAGAGAAGGAAAGAGTGAGAGCAAACAGACTTGCCATCAGAAGTGTAGTCTGAATGCTGAAATTTACTGTGCAAAATCCTAGTAAGGAGAGTGAATGTCATGACATGTGAACTATAAACACCTAGCCGTGGAAAGTTGGGGTAATCTTTGTTTGCCTGGCACTTCATTCAGAGAAGCAGTCATTTAATTGAAGCACTGTAGAACCAGGCCTTTTAATGAATGTCCCAAGGGCTCTGAGATTGTACAGTGCAGTTTCAGAACCTGAGCCTGGGCAGAAGTGCAAGACTAAAAATCTGACAGTTATTTGCTGCATTTAGGTAGGAAAGCAATGAAATTTTGTCATGTTTAGAGCAAAAACATGCTCAACACCGCCAGTGATCTTTCTGTAGTTGGTTTTGTATAACTTACCAAGGAGATCTAGTCGTACCCACTTACAACTTAAGAGCAGGTAGCTGTGCGCTTTGTAGCTCCTCTTGACTGCAGAAGTACTCTGTGAAATTTGGCAGTATCAGTTTGTGGGATGACTTGAGAAGATGAGGGATTTGTGTCTTCTGTACAGTTATAAGATACGAATCAATCAAGGACTGTAAATTCTGCCTCTTACCTGTGTTTGATAGTTCTGTTTTTATAAATATGAAGATAGCATACAAAAAAAGAGTAGAAAAATACATGTAGTTTTGCAGATTTTAAGCAAATATTATATGTATTTAGTAGACAGTTATGGTTAAGTATTGCTCAATAAACCATGTGCATTTGTGGAGAACCACTGTTGAGTAGGACTAAAACTTTCATTTCTGTTACATTTGATATCATTGCTTCTTGGGCTCGGGCTTGTTATGGCAGAACAAATAGCAGTGGTTGCCCTATGTCAGTAGGCATGGTTCTTCCTTTTTGAAGATTGACCTTGGCCTTAACTGACCAATAATAGATTTGTTGTTTTGTT